GATGAATAACGATTTCAAAGCAACAAAAATAAAGCGTTAAATAGTGATCTAAACAGCAATAAAATTGGCTTGACAGAGTGCATATATTATAGCCAAAACCTCCCAACGGATTACCGCCTCATTGTGGCTAGGAGGTGTTTCTGGGTGTTGGGCTGTGTTGTACAGCGGGAAGATCCTTTCTACCTGCAGGGTCTCCAGAGCTGAAAAGGAGTCCGGCGTTTCCATCAGGAAGCCCAGATAGGAGTAAACCAGTGCGAGAATCCACCACTGCCCTGGTATAAAACTAGTCGCATAGTGCAAATCTCTTTTTGATCCACAAACGCCGGCGACTGCCTGTGGTTGTGAAGACCGTCTGTGAAGAAAAGAGTTTGCTCAGACTGACCTCGGGACGGCAGGGAACCACAACGGCTAAACCAGTAAAACTCCGAAAAAACGGAAATTAGGCTAAGACCCGTGCACGACGGACCATTGAAGTATCCAAGTATCCAAGTAGTAGTCAAATGTCGGTAATGTTAGACACTGTCAACAGTGAACATTGTAGATTTCTAAAGCGAAGATTTTTCATCTCTTGTTTGTTGACAATTAGAATACAAAGAATGAATACTTTTGTAATTATTTACGCTTTGCACTCTTTCTCAGCTCGCTGAACTTGAAATAATCATTTTGCCTGTAACCAAGTGAATTTACCTGCTCGAGCGAAGGCGATGAATAGAAATCAAAACCTGTGAGCAGGGCTAAATTATCCTGTAATATGTATTCTTTCTTGATAAGCTTACACGAGGTTGATAAATATATTTATTTTCGGCTAACGTTTCGACGTCCTCGTCTTCCTCAGAGCCGGTGATCCGAGTCGATGGTCCATGCTTGTTGTTCGCCTCGACGTTGCGACTTCGCCTTCGTGTCGAGCCAGATCTTCCTCAGTGAGCCATCTTCTCGAATGAGGCATCCTCACTCAGTGGTGCCCTTTTATACACGATGCTGATGGTGGATATATAATGACAATGTCCGGTGGTAACAACTTGTATTTCCTCCGGACATACATCATTGCGCTCATCGTGCAGAGGTCGGTGTATTATCAGCTAGCACAAAGCGTAGTAATACTTCCAATATATTATATTTAAATATATTTATCAACCTCGTGTAAGCTTATCAAGAAAGAATACATATTGATTAATCACACCGAGGTTTAGGGAAGGTCGGTTTGGAAGTATATCCTGTAATATTTTCTTACCTGTCACATCGCTTGGAATATATACGAATGGATTGTTTTCGTCCACTAGTCAATAGCTATGTTGCTCATTGTGGTAAATCGAGCATATACGTACACACACATAAACACTAAACAAAATGGAGAAAAAGGGAGAAAATTATGAGAAGGCCAGATGCGAACAAACCTTCACTTCGTGGGTTTTTTCAGTGATCAACAATTGTATTCCCGTTTATGGAAATTTGCAAGTAACTGGATCGGAGATTAACGTAAGCCTACTAAAGATTTGCCTTGTCGTCATCGAACGCTTAAAATATCTTCTAAGAGTTACTTTAACTAAGTTGATTGCAACGATAACCTTGGAAACTAGAAAAAATTCGAGAAAATAGTTTCGGAGAGTTAACTAACTATTGTTTGAGTGATGTTATGACGTTGTCAGTGAAGGCGAGTGATTACGACACTTTCCTTCTAAATTTTTAACAACTACGTTTCGTTTTTCTTTCCTTTTTCAGGATAGAAAAATATCATGCTTTTCCGCGAAACTAATTCAAAGATCTCCATTTTTCCACGGCACCATTTCAAGTTGACTACTGATTGAGTCTCTCGAACCCGCCGCACCTACCAAGACCATCAGTGAGAACTTGGTCACTCTGGCTGCCGTCCTTGTGTGGCAGGATCGAGATGAAATTGAGGCTCTACTGCATCATAATCTTGTGTACAAAATTTCCTTAAGCCATACATGTTATTCTGATTACTGTATTACACATTATTATAGTAGTATCATGTTATACAACTAATAAATTGCATCCGCGGCTTCGTGTTTCAAACACTTCGGCGAAAACAACTGAGATTTCCATTATAAGAGTTCAGTTCCATGAAATGAACCAAATTTAGGTCTGCAAGAATAAAAATTATAATTAGGGCAATCGATCCTCTGTCACGTATCACATTTTAACAATCAGCAACCCAACATCAACGTAAAGCGAAATACTACAGAGCGAGCTGATAGAAACTCAAAGAGAATAGTGTCTTGAAATATCTTTCAGTCCGCTTACAGGTAAAAAACAAAAGTAAAGTAAAAAAAGGGGTTTCTCGCTAAAATGGTTTCATCAAGGTTTTTCTTCGGTGATTTAAACCAGAAATTAAATCGTTGTTCAATCATTCAGTGTTTTTCTATTTCGTCGCCTATGATACCACGCAAATTCTTTGGCTTGAGCAGGTTATCGGCACTGCAATAAATTTCTGCCAGAATAAGAGCAACTGCTGACACTGCTGACATTGGTTCATTTTTATCTAGCTTTCATGGTAAAACTGTTGACCCATCATATCATTTTGTGGATTGAACGACAGCCCTCTGCTATAGGTTTCCTTGAGAGTAACCCATGAGCACTATCTGAAGCTGAAGAAGCTAGTAGCACTAGTAGTAGTAGTAGTAGTAGTAGTAGTAGTAGTAGTAGTAGTAGTAGTAGTAGTAGTAGTAGTAGTAGTAGTAGCCTTTAATATTCTATAATTTTTTAATATGGCAATTAATTAAGTTCCAAATCATCCTTATGCCTCTTGTGAAAGCGGAAGTGGGGAGGTGGTGGAACACTTTCGCCTTCTTGCATGAACTACTTGAAATACGAGTACATTTAGGCCTACGTAATCAAGCAACGGTGTTTTCCACGAATGATATCCATTAAATAGTCAATGAAAATCATCAGTAAAGTAGAAAAAATATTCTTAGAAAAAAATGTAGTAATTCTAAGATCATCTTTCCCTCAGGTTTATTTATGTGTTCCTGTGAACTAATGTTGTTGAGCTTATGCGACGTTAGCATAAGTTGTTGTTGTCGTTGTCGCTGTCGTTGTTGTTGTTGTTGTAGTTGTCGTTGCTGTTGTTGTTGTTGTTGTTGTTGCTGCTGCTGGTGTTGGTGTTGGTGCCGTTGGTTGATGCTTGACGTCCAGGCATTTTCGCTTTCCTCAGAGCGTGCACCGATTTTATACAACAATAGCTTAATATTTCGGTGAAAAAAACACAGTATTAATGAAGATCTAACATATAAAGAAACGTTATAATTTTCACTGAACAATTAAGCCACTGTTGCATAAAATAATTCCAGGCTCTAAGGAAGGTGAAACCGCCGAAGCGCCAGCCATCGACCAACAGCAACACCAACAACAACAACAACAATAACAACCAACAACAACAGCAACAACCTACAACGACAACGACAACAACAACAACAACAACAACTTATGCTAACCTCGCATGAGCTCAACAAGATTAGTTCACAAGAACACATAAATAAATCTGAGGGAAAGATGATGTTAGAATTACTACATTTCCTTCTAAGCATGTTTTTTTCTACTCTGCTTGTGATTCTCATTGATTATTTAATGGATATTAGTCATGCAAAATGCCTTTGTTTGATTACGTAGGCCTAAATGTACTCGTATTTCAAGTGGTTCATGCATCTAGGGGAAAGTGTTCCACCATCTCCCCACTTCCGCTTTCACAAGAGGCATAAGGATGTTTGGGAACTCAATTATTTGAAATATTGAAGAAAATTTGGCGTAAGTAACAGCAGTGCCCAAACCGCACATCTAAGCTGTAAACACAAAAAAAGCAAGTGTATGCCTGAAATTCTTTCTTGCCAGACTAAAGAAAAATTTTTGCACATGATAGTACAAACACGGTGTTATGAAGCAGCTGCTGAAGCAAAATTTGCATCAAATCGAAACCGCGCTGTCGTGTAGGCAATAAATACAATTGAAGGATCAATATATATCTCTTCTATAACAAGCCCTTTTCAAACGTCATACACATAGCACTGTAGAACTTATAAACACGAAACGATGCGAAATTATACCTCAGCTAACACATCGCATTTCTTGCCAACCGATTGACACTTTTCAAGCACTGCTTACTCAGCAAAATACTGTGAACATCTTCAACAAAAGGACTTTACCAAAAATATCGTCTTTGCACCTCATAAAAGTCGCTCATCCAAGAAGTCTGCAATCTTGGTGTGATAGAGCAAATAAACTTTTATTTCATTAGAAAAGATGGTTAGATTGCAATGGTTCTGTATTTCGATTAACTCCAACAGTTGTTTATATGGCTAGGAAATGTTACTAAAGTCTACCTGCTATGAAAAACTTAAACTCAGCTTACAGCAAAGCTCCAAGGGAATATTATTCCAGATAAGAGCATACCAATACCAGGAGCCGTTGCCTTCCCGGCATCACCAACTGCATGGTGGCAGATCTGAGACCAATCGAAAGGGCTGGCTGGTGAGTGGTTGTGATGAGGACCTAGAAAACCCTAAATAAGGGGATCATGACACCCTAGAGAAACAGTGTATTGCCCGGCTTAGCAATCGAAAAAAAATTATGGCGAAGCTTTCACAATCCTTTATGATGGCTGGCCTTTCAACTAAAAAATTGAACTATTTTAATGAATGAAGTCTTCTGTAAGGTACAGAGATGAACACGATTGGAACTCAGTATTTAACATCGGAACTACTCATCATAAAACATAATAGAGAACCAAATATTGGTTTCCTTGCACATTCCCTTTCCTTTTTAGGGCAAGATTGCCTTCCATCCATCAATTTCTGTACTACAAAGCCTTTGTTTTGCGAAGCGAGAAGCTTTCTGGAATGCAATCCTTATCATTATAAGAATGAAATATGACCAGCATTTTGCTGACATAACGAAAGTGAGCTATAAATGATTGCATAAAGTCATCGTAAAGATAGCAAGTGGAAACAATGCCTGCGATAAGATGAAACATAATCAGCCATGTTTCAATGTGGTAGGTGACCGCTCTTTTTTCCTGCATACCATATTTTATACGTTTTTACAAATTCTTTATTGTGAGACATAGTGCAGAGGAATTAAGATGACACTTTAATGGAATCATTCAATGCAATTCAGTATTCATCACCAGCTTTCTCATCTATTCCGGTGCAACCTTTAGGAATCCGTATTATGCCAAGTGAGTTCATGCCAATAACCTTTTTAATTCAAGCAACAAAAAGCCTTAAAAATCTTCTTCATATAGGTAATAAAAACGGTGAACACTGAAAAATCTCATTTGATATCTTACTGTCATTTGATATCTTGGTATCAACACAGCTTTTGAGAAGTCGAAGGCAACGAAACTTTAGCCGAATAAAAATTTTTATGCCAACCACATGTCGGCTCAGTCATATAAAAAACCATGTCATTAGTAAATGTGGTAAACTATTTCTCTTTCCATTTCATCACTTTCTTTATGTTTCCTGGCTTGTAGAAATATAGCCAATAATACTTTCTGTAGAATATAATAAGCCGCCCCAGAGCCGCATTTAAGCTAGACGATGTTACTGGGTGCTGAACCACGGTGTACAGCAGCAGCATGTTTTCTTAATAGGGACACTAAAGTTGATAATAGACTCAATATTTCCAATAGGAAGCTCACCTATGAGAGCTGTAGCAGAGTGCAAAAGCGACTTAGAGTTACTCTATGTCGTGAATTGAGTTAACAAATAGATAAGAAAGTTAAGCGTAATCGTCTTAATAATATCAAGAAATCAACGTCATAACTAATATTGGACATATTTTGCCATAAACATCCGTTAAAATTCAATACAGCAAAAACCTATTACACTTTAATAAATGATATCGTCCAGCTTTCCAACTTGAGCGGAGCGGTGAGCAAAGTAGAAATGGCTGCAGATTTTTAAAACCATCGAAAACATAAATGCTTTTCAGGATCTACGGCGTTTTACCTACAAGATAAATGCTTTCAGTTACAAGCTCTCCGATTTCGGTGTACCTGGATACAGTTGCGACGCTGAGCTGATGAAACCGAGCAAAACTATTCCGAGTAATGTGAATGCTGTTCGTCCAGCTGATATCAAAGTCATAATGGCACTAGGCGATTCGATTACGGTAACTTACTAATTCATGCATTTTACAAAAAAATTTGGTGCGAAATGCTTTAAAGCGTCCTATCTACTACATTTTTTCTGATGAGAAAGATTGGAAAAATGATACCACAGAACGGAATGCTGATACCTCGTCCTATTGACTTTATGATAGCATTCTAAAGATAATGAAATTTCTTATAAGCCTATTTCAACAAGAATTGCTCAACATTCAATGAGTGGTGTGGAAAACACAGACATAGAAAGTGAGGAACTAGTCTGAAACCAAAAAATACAAGCAATCAACTGTTTCTACATTATAGAATTCCGTGTGAATCACTCAAAAGTGTTACTCACATGAAACAGTGAGGAATATTTCCCTGCAGAAAACAAATATTTCTCCATTTTCACCTTCCTCTATTTGAATTTCTCTTTTTGCAAAAATATTTACTACCCATCCACCTAAAAATAAAATAATAGTTTTCTGATATAGAACAACCTTTTACTGCAGACTACAGCGGAGTAAATGTGGGGCATTAACCCATCTCTAGAAGAGGTCCAATGCATTCGTCTAGTTGCGGGGCTCTAACGGTGTAGCAAGTCAGTGTTTTTATCCCCTCAGACAAACGTGAGGCCAATTTTTTAAACTCAGATATGTGAGGCACTTCCTAGCACATGGGATCGAAGCAGTGACACTATGCGTTTCCCACAACACCTCTAACCACTCCTCTGCGCATTATGAGGGACACAATGGCATTAAATAACACGGTTTATATGTAACCAAATATGTCGAAACATTCACTTCTCTGGACCTATCAACAGAGCACTAAGATAGTAAACTGGTCTACCAGCACCCCCTAACATCAAGGCAAAGACCATATAGGTGATGACAGCACCCCTCCTTAAATGATCATCACGATCATCTTTGATCATCTACTGGAATCCTTACAAATGTGAAAGTTTGGACCATGTACAGCTTGACGGCGAAAGCAATCCATGAAAAACTGTAAGACCATTTCGACAAAGCCAGCTGAATACAGTGAAGTCACAAAGAGGGAAGAGGGCACTAGATAACTCATCATAATCTCAGAGATATCTGGGCCTAAAATACAGTGCTGGCAACGACGCTATTGACAGAAAAGAGAACTTTCATAGAAATGAAAAAAGACGGAAAGATCGAGGATTATACTGGGAAAGGTATATGTTACAGGAAGATTAATGGTCCTTTCCGTAAATTAATTTAGTGATGTCATTAAATTACGCGTAGCGCAGTGTATAGATAAGAGTGGGCTGCAGGGAGAAGTGGTTAGTGACACCGTCCAATGCTCTCTTCCATTCCACCTGGGAATGACCTAGCTAGGCCAACCCCAAGAACGCAAGAAGAATCTACTCGACCAAGCACCATACTACATTCATAAAGGATAAGGAATAGAGCTCTCGTTGAGGCGTTGATCAATTCTTGAGGGATGCGCCATGTATTCCACCTCATTTAACAACGTAGGAGATGATTGAATGCATATCTGGCCTTTACAATGACTCGTAGTGGCCTATCAATGTATCGAGCCAGTGCTGCTATCCTCCCAGACAAGTCTGGTACCATTTTTCCGACCCTGGAGAAATGGAAGACAGGTGAGTCTGGAGCACAGAGACCGATCCCATGTGTGTGTGTTGCAGGGTGCAACCGACTACTGTGCCACACGTGAACCACGACAGTCACAATGAAGAAAAATTCCTGCAGCAGCACCAGCAGCAGTACAAACACGGAAAATGTTTAGAGACCGTTGTGAAAAACAAATGCGAAGAAAACGAATCAAATGCAAGAAGTGGTGAGATCGGCGACGCAGATTTGATGAGTGGTCATGTAAGAAGAAAAGTATTTAGGGAAGCCCTGCACTACGCACGCAGTCGTTAGTTCGATCCAGCGCTCCGCGCTCACCAAACCTATCGTATAGTCGGGGTCACCAAATCGCCACCAGACTTGTTTTTAAAAACAAAAATGATTATTTAATAAGTTGAGGCTTTGATACCATTTCATGAGTCGAATATGCATTTAACCACCTTAATGATGCTTATTTGAGCCAAATGCAAGCACGTATCCCTCCGGACATCTTCTTATCCTTTGAATTGATTACGCATTTAAAAATAAGGTTCAGACAGAAACTACGCAACTATAAAAATTGCTTTCATTTTCGAGAAATGTGTGAAGTATTTTGAAAAAGTAGTTCCATCTTTTGGTCTCTGGAAAAACATCTGACTCTTTGTAGGCGGGAAACGGCGCCGGAGCTGAAGATCCCCTGGCAGTTCTCTTACAATACAGAGGGCTTGCTTTTCATGCCGGCGGTGACAAGTCTTTAGATGAGCATGTGACGATTCCTAGTGAGTTGTTCATAGCTACTTGCTTTTTTAAACTGTATCTGTTGATTAAGCACATAGTACAGTCCTCTAAAGTTTCAGTGCACGTACTGCCAGTTCATTTATAACAACACACCTAAACCAAACCACTATCTTTATAATATTAGAGAAATTTAAAATATAAGAAACAAATCTGCGAAAGATCACCACCTCGTGCGCTTGGTAGCTAACAAAATGGATTCTTGTAATGAACTAACAAGAATGAATAGAAAACAATGAAAGCAATCTTTGCAATTTTTGGTCGCCGAGCACTTCGCGTAAGCGCCAGGTACCCATAATATCCCACTCGATCGAGAAACACGAAAGCATAACCATTTCAGTTCAAGAATTTTATCAAAATTTCTAGCCTCGTATGGATGTTCTTTGCATTCTGCGCTTGACACGTTTCAGAACCTACTAGTTAAGGACGCGTGCTCGTTTTTGTAAAATTCATAGAACTTTTGACATTATTTTTGCTGTGTTCTAGTAAGCAACATCTTCAATAACTTATATTCCTTATCGTTGATCTTAAACGCGAAATTCCTTGCTCTTCTGTTTGCACATCTTCCGTATTCTCGCAGCTTAACTGAATGCAAGAAGTACGAGGGAGCTAGAGAATAGGGGTCTAGCATCTGATCGCCTCCACTTATTCATTTCGTCCTTCGTACCCATAAAAACTTGCAACAACTTTTATGATACTTTGCTGAGCAGCTACAGCGTTTTAATTTCTTACTCATTGCTAGTTTTTGACTCAGTTTCCACTAAATCATTGAATAATACTTGTTCCGATAACAGTGAGGGAGTGACAAACAAATTGGTTTTTTATAAAAGTCGTCTTCTTTGGATTAAGGGCAGACAGACCCTTCCACACGTCATGTTTGAACTCGTCGGGGTTTTTCTCATTTGTCTGCTGCTTCGCGTTTTAAAAATTATTGGAAAAAGAATTAAAGCTCTTGGCGTTGATTAACCCTTGATGGCTGCGTCACGCTTTCAACTCCATCTTAGAGGTGACTGGATGCATATCTGGCCTATACAATGATTAACGGTGGCCTACCGACGTAGCCAACGCTGCTATTTTCTCAGACAAGTCAGGTAACAGTGTGCCGGCCTTGGAGGCGCGTTCGAACCTATGTGTATTGCAAGGCGCCTGTAGCTACTACGTTATAGTCATCCTTTCGAGAACGACATAGTCAGCGAAGTTAAGTTCACGTAGTTCGCTGCTATCGACCTTCATTTCGATTACAGATCACTGCAGTCTTTTCGAGAAAAATGTGTGGGTATATGATTTTTCGTCACCCTGACAATGAGGTCATGAAATGGCAAAGTTCTAGCCGTTAAACTGACTTCAACATGAAAACTCCATGTGCACAAGGCGTAGAAACGTAAGGTTTTCTTGCACAGCCTTAATTATTTCTGTTACTGAGCGGACACTCTTAGTTTTCGAGGAATATTCCCGGGATGTTGCTAACACGGCTCTTCATCGTGGAATTGTTTGACTTGTTTTGTACACAATGATTTAGACAAAAAATATTGTAGACCAACAAGAACAGGCTGATATGCTTAGTTGCTGACGTCTTGAAGATCGTTATCAGACTTGCTTCTTCTCGGTCTATCAAAGCTGTCAGAAAGCTCTTGCGATTGTCGAAATCCTAGCCAGCAATGCTTTACTAAACCTTCCAGCTTTGGACAGTGCTCCTTCTTTCCCTTTGTAAAACGTCTGGCTAAATTTGTTCAGTGCTTTGTCAAGCTCAAATCTGACCTAATAGCTGTCTGTGGTTCACAGAGCTCCACGTTCGTTAACCCACTCAAAGACCCGTAGGTGTTCCTCAATGAATTTCTGTCTTCTTAGCACTTCGAAACAATCAATAACGTTATCCTTCCCAGAAAAGCCTAGAAGTGAAGAACAGACAGTTTCTGCCACGAAGTTTGCTGGAATTTCAATGAAGATGTTGTCAATGTCATGTGTTTGCTTATTGAAACTTTCCCTAGGCAGTATTTCAACCTAAATTTTCTGGCAACATGACGTTGTGTTGCAAACAGCCAAGATTGAGTCGTAAAAGATCAGCTTGTCGATGACGTACGTAGTACTTCTACGACGCCGCTTTAGGTCTTCAGTGGAGCCCTCCCATAGTGGTGTGCATTCTTCCATATTTTATCTGCCGAAAAAGCCTTGACATTTTTATGGCTTTTCCCTACTCGTCATGTGTTTTGCATCAGAGGAGGATGCGCCTTGGCAAAATATGGGTTAGTGAGAATTTTAAAGAAAACCAAAAATCTCATGAGTAGCCTGATGTGCTCTTTCTGAGTACACATTAACCTTATCAATTTCAGACATACTGAAAAAATACAATCCAAATTTGTTTGGCTACTCTGTTGGAATAGGCTCACCAAACGTATGGGAAATCGCCCATCTGAATGTTGCTATGCCTGGAGCTAATGCAGCAGATCTACCTCGTCAAGCACGACAATTAGTTGGATTACTAGAACAGCATCCACAGGTTCGACAATTTGACAATTTGGTAAAACAGTTTTTTTAGGTGATGTGTGTTTTTCTGCCTGTTACCTATACGGAATAATAATACAAATATACGATGACATATGGAGTATTGTGTTTTAGTCAGTTAATATTAAAGACGACTGGAAACTACTCAATATCTTCATTGGCGGCAACGACATCTGTGACTACTGTACCAGTCCGGTATTAGTTTTTCTTTTCTTTTCTTTAAAATGACGAAACTAAACAGGAAAGGGAAACAACATTTAACCATGACAAGGTAAAAGCTTTTTATAGTTGAATTCGATTTTTATCAGTTTGATCAAATTGATGGAAACCCCACGAAAACTGATTATTTACAGCTAGAGAAATTGCTGATCATTGTTCCGAAAATGATATGTTTTCTTTTGGTTCTTTTATTTTTTACTTGTGGCTACGGTTTCAGCTTGAGGATTTTAATTTCATCTTGAATGCGGTAGAATGCTGGTCGAGAAATTCTTCCTGGTGCCCTGAGATAGCCGTGATAGAGCGTTCCCAACTGGATTGCAGAACGTGATTTTTTCCCAAACAGGTCCGGTACCAATTTCCCTACCGCGGAGGGATGACAGGCTTGGTTGGGCCGGAGCGGATTTGAATTGGCACCATGCTCGTGATGACGGGCATCACTACCACTGTGCTTATCTTCCTCATTATGCCCATCTTCGTTTAGTAATTGAATCTTCACTCCAACTTTACATGAAGAATGTCGAGCTGATTAGGCAAGACAACACGTGGAGCATTCCCAGATGGTGAAAACTAGGGTAGACAAGAACTACTGGAATCGATGTACTTGGAATGATGTGGATGACTTCAGACAATTTACCCCTTGTCTCTTCACACGATGGATACATTTATCTCCTGCATTTATATATACGTAGCGATTCAGTGTTCCTCTAACAAAGAAGATCCACATCTGCAAGTAGGGTCAGAAAAGTTATCCGTAAGGGTAGCTAGAAAGAACTGCCTTTGATATAAACAAGTTCCTGACTTTATCCCTTTCCTAGCCCATGAAGTCTATCTATTCCCCGAAATCAGGGAACTAACACAAGAAGAAGTTCTCTCATATCCGCAAAACCAAGAGAAACCCTATCACGACTATCCTTGAATTTCCTAGAGAATGGATCCCGACCAGTGCCCATCAAGATTTGCAAAGAAGAACAAAATATTCCTTAAGCAAGAACTCGTCACACACTCAAAATTTAGAAATATTTGTAGGTGATCAATGGGAAACGCTGAAACAAATGAAGTGCTGGGATTCACATGTTGTGCACTGTTGAGTCATGCAAACATTTTATACGGAGAAAAGCCAATAAAAGAAAATTGAACGTTTTCTTTATAACTTTTAACTTCTTATTTACTGCCTACTCTTTTTAACGGCTGGGTATATATTGCGATATATAACTTTAATGATGCTAAGATATTTGCAACACTCCGGACCACAGGTGTCTGCGTTGGGGAACGAGCGCATAATTGTCCTTTTCGGAGAATAACGCGCTTACCACCACACCATGCGGGCCTTTTGTTTCGCCTGTCTCTCAGCTAGTTTTAACGAACTTTTGCAATCAGCAATCACTCGTCAGCGAGATTGATCTGGGGAGCCCAAATCGGCAACAAACCCAGTTATGCTGAGGCTGCAGTTATAATCACAACTATATATTTTTTTGTATTTTACTATTACATGTAGTACTAGTACTGTGGCTAACACTAAGTGAATATTTTCGTTATAACAAATTGAAGCGTCATGAATAAGAAGGAAAAATAAGACGAAAAGGAAGGTGTGACTAGTCATGCTGTGTTCGCGATATTAGTATGGCGCGAGCTAATTGTGACCTAAAATGTTATTTATTCTGTTCACTTTTCCATTTACTGTCTTCTAAAATTTTCACAACGGATTATTAAGCGAAATAAACCACAGCGATGCTGAGATATTCGCAAAACTTGGAGTCCCTGCCAGATCGAACCACGATTTCACCTTCCGGTGACTCGCGCGTGACACATAATGCCCTTGCTCTGTGTTTCTCTCAGCTACTTTTTCAATCTACCAGTGCCATCGGCAATCACACACCAACGGTATTGAGCTGAGAAGCACCATCGACGTTGAACTCAGTTAAGCTGAAGCTGCAGTCGAAATGACAGCGTTTACTTTTTAAGAGCAAAGGACTCTGTGGCGCAGTGTTTAATGCGCCAGCTCCTGGAAAAGGAACTAATGGTTTGGTCTTCTAGACCGCGGTCCAAGTTTTGCCAATATTTCGGCATCGTTGTGGTTATTCATTCTATTTTTTTATAGTATGCTGGATCCTACCATGGCTTTAAAAACAACATTCGCAGGCCAGTCAAATTCTTTACATCTAAGTCAGTGAAGTATTCTAGAAACAAAGAAGAGCACCAATAACCTTTTATCTGGTTGGCTTCCGAAAATGCCAAAAAAATGATGATTTCAAAATTTGAAAAACTGGTCACAATTTAAATTTAAGGCAAACAAAAGTTTAAGGCTACAACGAATTCGCAGCGAAACTGAGCGTTTTTAGGGCAACTGTTCTCTTGAAATTATTGATCTTCACGTAGATTTTTCTCAAATTTTGCACCTTATTATAACTTAAGCGATTCGTAGCAGACATGTTTCAGTCGTATGAGCCACGTATTTGCGTTGAACACATCAAGGAAGCGATCCAAATTATTTACGATAAAGTTCCACGAGTAATTGTTTCATTGACAGCGATGATGCATCTAGAACTTTTAAGGCAAACCGATCATGGTCATTTCTTCTGCACATTGCTTCACAGGTCTGTTACATTTTACATATACAGTTCATAAAAGACAGTTAACGATATAAATTACCGTGTCACCACCAAATTTCTTTCATAATATCAAAAAAAATATACTGGAAAATAGGACATTTTACATTACGGTGAAGTTGCTTGCTGTGAGATCTTTCCTGCCACTCCTGCCTTTTTGTCTTGTTTTAACGGCAGGTCTCAAACTTTAGCAATTAAACCGTTTATATGTAATAATAACAACACAATAGTAAAAATATGACGATAAGAAGACTTTGAGGTTGCAAACACCCCTCTCAACGGCTTACCGCCTCATCGTGGCTGGGAGGTGTTCCTGGGTGTCGGACTGTGATGTACAGCGAGGGACTCATCGCCTCGCAGGGCCTCCTAAGCTGAGAAGGAGCCCGGCGTTTCCATCAGGAAGCCTAGCTAAAAGTAAGCCGATACCAGGATCCACCACCGTCCTGGTATCAAAGTCGCATGGTGGCAAATCTCCCTATGATCCACAACGGCGGCGACTGCTTGTGGTGGTGACGACCTAAAACGGACTTTGGCCAAGCTGACCTCGGGATTCCAGGAAACCACAATGGGTTAACCAGCAAATCTCCGAAAAATGATGATTATGCTGGAGTCCGCACAACTAGTGATGACGGGTCGTCCAATTATCAAGTTTCAAGCAAAGTTATCACCAGGTAAAGATGACAAAGAAACTAACAGAGAACGCCAGTATCTTTTACAATAATATCAAAGTGGTATTATAGAGAAATAACGATATTGCGCTTTGTTAGCTGCCAATTACGGTAGAGCGGAAGCAGAATAGGATGTTGGTATGAATTCACAAGTGAACGATGAAATTGGTATACGGTCTGTGGATGGAAGAGCATACGGAAGTCTAAAAATACCTGAAGATCACTGTATACACACACAAGTGTGAAGCTCAAGTAGCGAAGAATGAGATAAAGCATACAGATGAGTGAAGTGCTTCTGTCTTAGGCCGGAATGGCAAGGTTAGCAACATATTACAGAATTAGTACACCGCCATTCCGGCGCAATTTGCGGAAGCAATTTAGTAGTTCAATAGATGAGGATAATTTTAACACCAATGATTATTAGAGCAGTGATTTAATATGATGTGACCCTGATTAATACTACTTATTCAGAGAGAGAGCTTAGACTTAACGGTTGAAGTCTCTCTCACGAGATGAAGCTAGAAGCAGAAGATTGTGAAAGTAGCAATACACGTCGAGGTCAAATGCCGTTAATACTAAACTTTATCAGCACAAAAAACACTCAGTTATATTAAAAAATGGCAACCATTCGGGAGAATAGTTGACATACAAAGCTTTGTGGGATTTTTATAATCACTCATTTACGGTCGAAAACGTTTGTGCTCAACAACGGAAACTTTTGATTCTCGAAATTCCTGTAAATTTTCATGGCATACACACGCACGCACGCTCGTACATAGACAAAACACACGCACTCATAGACATACACACAACCAAGATGCACAGGCAAATACACATAGTGTATTAACTGTATAATACGGCAAATTGCTCCACTTTGAAAAAATGTTTTTGAAAACGAACGAAAAGAACATAAAAATCGTTACATGATTAGGCAATGCCTTGTGTGCCCACTGTTTTCTAGCTTTTCACAACAATGAACCAAACGGTAGTATAACCCTCGACCTAGTTCTATGCTTATTTTCTGTCATAAAAGACTCATGTAAGGAGACTTATAGGGAATCGATTATGATAACTTATCTCACAGACGTGCAGCATTACATCTACACTCATTTATTTCGTTACCTGAACGTTACTAATCGTTTCGACTTTTATGTATTCCTATTCTACTGCTACTTGCGCATTCATTTACTAATAGTATTTTTCGCGACTTTATTGTTCCAGGGAAGAATGTAGCTGTGAAAGCAACAAAACGTTCACTGACGCCGACATAGCGAAAGTTTGTTAGAATAACGATTTTGGTTTCCTTTTATACATTGCAATATTTTTATTGTAGCTATAACGTGTTGGTTTTAAGGCATGTGTTGAATATTCAAATCATGAGATCGCATTGGGCGCCTCAGGTGTTTTCGAGAAGGAAGATTTTACGTTGGTTGTACAACCGTTCTTGAGAGACATTACACAGCCACCAATGAAGGTTCGCAATGAAATACTTGAAGTGTTGTCGCAATGAAATACTTGAAGTGTGTTTTGCTCTTGTGTTCTTGTAAACGAAAAAGCAACATGACAACACACTCTTGAACTCTTGAAGTAAACAAGGGCTGTTAGTGCTTATCGTTCAAGTTCTTGCACACACTAATCCTTTTTGCTGGTTTTTTCATAGTGAAATGTCCATAGTTTCTAGTCGAATAATTCGACTGAACGTTTTACCAGCATAACAGCTATAATTGAAATCCGGAATACAACTACATAGAGATTGTTTTAGTTTGATAATAGAACCACATTAAGAGGAGTGTAGCACAGTGATAAGAGGTGCACTGCAATACCTACACATACTCCTTGTCCCATATTGCAAGCTAACCAAGCACGCTGTAAGAAAACTGATACTTACCTTCTTCGGACGGATAAAAACGCTAACTTGACAGAACGGTAGGTTACGGCAAGTCACTGTGTAGCTCTGATATGTATTCGATCACCTCTACGATGCTACGAATTGAGTCGAATGAATAGCGTGCCTCTCGAGCCTTAATTAAAGCCGAAGGCTTTGTACGCCTATGCTTCTCCGACCACAGTTTCCCGATGGGATTATAGTGTATTGCAATGAAGCGCCATTTTTATATTGGAAACATCGACTCCTATCCAACAGGTGAAAAAAGCAAACCATTCAAAGGAAGTTTGATCACAAGAATGCGCTCCACTTTTTCCAAAGAAAGATATTCCTTATTTTCCTGGATTCCATTTTGTTTGCCGCTCACTTCCGGTTTGAAAACGAGCTTAAAAGGAGTTGAAGGTGAATTCTTTCATCTGTCGCATCAAAGAGATCGAACAAATTTCGTAGTATTTTTTAAAGAGAAAAATTATTCGTGTACAGGCTTTCAGAAAAATGGTTATGTAAGGCAATATTTAAAAATTTCATCCATAGAAAAAAGCCCTCTGGCAAAATATGTATAACAGAGAAGTAGTGCAGTACTTTTTCCAGCGTCAAATTGGTTTCAGTCGAGGGAAAATCTCACTTCTGCAAAATTTGCTTGGCTGATTTCGATCAATAAATAAGGCTTTTTATTTTGTTTTATTTGGCCCGTCTTCACGTCTACCCGCGGATCCCAGCACTTCTCACATCCTATTCGTTTCATGGCATTCATCGTCCACGAAGACCTTCCAAGTGTTTACTTGTGGCTTCGGTTGCTGCTTGAGGATTTACATTTTGTCTTTAATGTCGTAGAATGCTAGTCGAGCAATTCTCCCTGGAGACCTGAGATAGCCGGGCTGGAGCGCTCCCAGTTGGACTGCAGTGAGTGATTTTTTTCGCAGACAGGTCCGCAGCCAATTTCCCAACCCCGGAGGGCTGAGAGGTTTGGTTGGGGAGGTGCGGAAACGAACTAACACCATGCTCGTGGTGGTGGACATCACCGCCGCTGTGTCGTCCACCCCTATACGTCATTCATAGGTATTCAGAAAATTATGATAGATCTACCCAAATATGAAGCACGAATGTTCACCGTGGATTTACTTTCAACTTTATCTCGGTCCAGTTGTCATGATGGAAGCATGAATGAAGTTACAATCTCCAAAAATGGGTTAGCCGCTAGTTGATACTTATATTTTTCAGCGCATTATATTATAGCCTTGTAAATTCTTCGTTTGAATGTAAATGTGTTTTTATGCCGAAATGATATCGTACTCAACCAACTTTTGTGCTAAATTTTTCCTTTTTTGCTAATTAGGAATTTTTCTCTCTTTTCTCATCTACGTTATCCCAGCGATCATTATAAGGTTTAGTGAATACTGAACCTTTTTACAAAGCCGGTCACCGGTCGAAATAAACGAAAAGACGAATTCGTACAACGTTTTCAACTCCCAAAACTCTATCATACATATATATACATATATATATATATATATATATATATATATATATATATATAATGCTGGCCGAATATATTTTCCACAGAGGAGTTACATGTTCTCCACTCATTAGCAACACAGTCTTCGTGCTTCTCTGTTGGTATAAAAAGCAAGCAATCGAGTCGGCCTCATTGTCTCAATGTGTTACACTGTCGCTAGATTTGTATCTTGCTGAATAGGTCTTACTGGTCTTTGCATTGCTATAGCCACGGTGTTCAACTGAGGTGAACGAGCTCGCCTGCGTAACAGCTTTGTAGATTTCAACTTATTATTTACTGCCTGCTTTCTTTAGGCAAGGTATACATTGTGAAATATAACTTCAATGATGCTGTCATTGAAGTTTTGTAAATTGTTGTGTTTATAACTTCGATGATGCTGAGATATTTTGCAAAGCTCCGGACCGCAGGTGTCTGCGGTGGAGAAAGAAACGCGCTATTGTCCTTTCCGGAGAGTAAAGTAACTGGGATCGTTGCCGATTTTTGCTCTAGATCAATCCCGCTGATGGGTGATTGCTGATGGCAAAAGATCGATAGAACTAGCTGAGAGACAGGCGAAACAAAGGACCCACATGGTGTGGTGGTGAACGCGTTACTCTCCGGAAAGGACAATAGCGCGTTCGTTCCCCATCGCAGACACCTGGCAGTAAATAATAAGTTAAAACTGTTGCGTTTATGTCTTCGTTCAAAAACATCCGTTTGGATAAACACTCGAATGAGCACAGAAAAAGACCTGTGTGGGGTAAAATGTACAACTGAAAAGAAAGAGAGTCATATATGACTCATGCGGTTGTGGGTATCTTAGGAATCATGGAGGCGATTGAGAACATATGTCATCTATAGAATAGTTACAAACATTCACTAATGAGTAAAGCCAGTGTTTTCTTTACTTACACACCCAGGCAGGAGTGCTACGAATTTAATGAACTTAGATGAGAAGGTCCTCCCAACGGTTTACCGCCTTGTCGTGGCCGGATGCTGTTCCTAGGTGTCAGGGTGCGATGTACAGCGGGGAGATTCATTCTCCGGCAGGGTCTCCCAAGCTGAAAAGGAGAACGCGTTGCACCAGTAAACCAAGCTAAGAGTAAACCAGCACCAGTATCCACCACCGTCCTGGTATCGAACTAGTCGCATGGTGGCAAATCTCCCTCTGATCCACAAGGACGGCGAGTGCCAACCGTGTTGACGACCTGGGGATGATTTTGACTAGGTTGACCTAGGGACTCCATAGAGCCACAGTGGCTAAGCCAGCAAAGCGTCGAAAAGTGGACTTTATGCTGAGGTTCGCACACCCAGTGAGGAAGGGCCGTCCAAGTATCCAAGTAGAAGAGGAGGAAGGAGAGTTTGGTTAGCCCAAGGGATCGGACCAACGATTATCTATGTATTGTAGTCAATCACGGTGGCAGACTGTTCTCCAGTAGTTTACGTAAAGCTGCACACTTCCAAGTACTTCTTGGTCTCATTTTAACGTGAAAAATGGCATGCAAAAATCAAAAATAAAGTCGACGTGCTAGTTGTTAGCATAAGCTGTTTATAATTATATGTTATAAATTCGGAAACGTGTTTTTTCTCTTAAAGAACAGTTAACTTTAAAAATTGCAAGCAGCTTAATCGAAAACAACTACACTTTTACCTTTTAGGGCGGTAAATACGATATGGAAATTTTCGCACCGGATTGTTTTCATTTGTCACAATACGGACACGCTTTGGTTAGCACGTGGTTATGGAAGAATATTCTTGAACCGGTTGGCAATAAGACAACTGAAGGTTCACTTTCAGGACCTGCTTTACCACTAGCATGCCCCGATACGGTAAGTGACCGTATTACTGTGTAAAATTATTAATATAGAATAGGTTAACGAGAAAAAAAACCGGAAATCAGTAAATTATTTAAAATGTGTTTGATGCTGTTATATGCTGAGTTCATCATTTTCGTCGTTATGTCCTACTTAAAACCAGTCAGAGTTTATTCGCTACTTTGGAACATACCAAAAAATAAGTGGCGGCTAATAATTCATTTAGAACTGTCCATTTATTCGCACCAATCTGAATAGTGCGAACTGCAACAAATACATGACGTTGGCAACCTGAAACGAAGGACGTGAAGATTGAAACAGCTCAATTTATCATTATACTTGTAGACGCCGTCCGCTTTTCTTGCAGAATTCATTTCAAGTAGAAAAAAAAGCACAAAAAAAGACTGACAAAATGATATCGTCGGTCGATAATATGCAATAAAGATGTTTCAGCTTCGAATCCTAATGTAATGACAGAAAGTGATGCATTAGATTTTTCTACTAATTGGTTCCCGTTTGTGAAAGTGATGCAAAAATCGAGGATTCTGACAATTTTGAAGAAAAAATGTCAACAAAATTAGGAAAGTTACTTTCTACTACTCGACATACATGTCCGTAGCACTCATAGCGGAACTCACAAAACCTCATGAACGAATGTTTACCATAAAACGCTAGTTTTCCCTTCGTTTTCCTTCCGTTTTTTCCTCTCGTGTTCTCGTTCATTTAATTGCAACAAGTTTGTTTTGACAGTTTAGAGATTTTCGCATCGTGATTTCTCTCCTGGCGTTAACCAGTTTTGTTGCGATGTTGATTTTGACTAACCATCAAATACGCGCTGTTGTTGCTGTTGTCGTCTTCCACCGAAACCATAGAAATCATTCATTTCTTCCCATTTCATTATGTCAAATCATCACTTGACAAATAATATTCGAAAAAACACAAAACTACTATAATAATACACTACAGTATGAACAATAACAATAGTAGTAACATTAGCGACAGCCACAATGATGCTGAGATATTTGCAAAATCTCCAGATAGCGGGTGTCTGTGGTGGCTATTACCCTTTTCGGGGGCTAACGCGTTCACCACGACACCAAGCGGGTCCATCTTTTCGCCTGTCTCTCGGCTAGTTCTATCGATGAGTGCCATCAGGAATCAGCCGTCAGTGGAATTGGTCTGGGGAGCCTAAATCGACAATGAACCCAGTTAAGCTGAGGCTATAGTATAATCACAATCTGTTATCCGTGAAATCACAACATTAGTTTTTTCTTTACCCCGTATGGTGTGGTGGTGAACGCGTTAGCTCCCGGAAAGGGTAATAGCGCATTCGTCCTCTAGCGCAGACACCTGAGGTCCGGAGATTTTGCAAATGTCTCAGAATCATTGTGGTTGTGCCACACATTGTAACCTTCAACGAAAAATGCAGTAGGCAGCAAATAAAAAATTGACGTTGTCGGCAGCAACAGCAATAACAACAGCAGCACTAATACATAATAACTCACTCGTATTGAAATCTCTTGGTCGTTCAATCATCGAATCAAGTTCCAATAATATTTTTCGCAAAACTTCTAAAAGAAACTATAATCTTCCCTTGTAGTTTTGGCATTCTACGACGTGTAACCGTTCCCTTATATTTTTACATGTAGGAAAAACGAGAACAGTTATAAGAACTTAGTGTACATCTACAATACAATGCCGATTGTACTGAATTTCATCACAATCGCAGACACTAACCAGTTGTTGAATGGGAGTAACTTCCGCCATAGCGGATTCCACATCAGGAAATGTAAAAAAAAAAAACAAAAAAGGGAAGTCGAGAAAAAGGAAGAAGCACATAAGATTCTGTTTGATCGTTTATTGATATTGACATGAAAACGAGTTCTACTGTTTTATGCGTTCCACTCTCATCATCTAACCTACACTTTACGCCGTTGATTTAGTTTGAGAAAGCATTTTTACATCGGCGCTGAACTGGTTGACATGATTGCAATCGGGCAGCTGTCATCGACTTTCAGCAATCAAATCAACAAACCATGAAAATCAACGTTTCGAATTCTGTCACATATTTTTAACTACTAGCCGTTAGCAAGCTCTTAACCTCATGCATAACTCTTTGTAGTATTGGCGGCACATCAGCTGTAGTATCAAGTTCATTATTCAAGTTCATTTACCCTAGTTTGTTGTTTTATACGATAATTTTGTTTTTCGTGACTACACGATAAACAGTATACGAGCAAGATTAACAACAATAATTGCAAGTAAGGCAAAAGTAAACTTCACATTCACATTCAATTTATTGACAACTCCCTGTATTCTTCATCATTGAATAATTCTTTATGCAGCATATATCTATTTATATTAAAGATAAAACGATTGGAAAACAAATGGCCATAAACGTATTGACGCTATAAACATTAGTTAATTTGATAATATTATTACACCTTTAATAACAGAGCGGATAGCGCAGTGGTAATGGCGTCGATCATCACGAGCATGGTTCTAGTTCGATTCCGCCCGGACCAACCAAGCCTCTCATTCCTCGGGGTCGGAAAATTAGTACCGGTCTTGTCCAGGAAAATATCACTCTCTGCAATCTAATTGGGAACACTCGGGCTCGGCTATCTTAGGGCTCCAGGGAGAATTGCTCGACCAGCATTCTACGACATTCAAGATGAAATGAAAATCTTCGAGCAGCAACCGAACGTAAAAGTTGGAAGATCTCCTTGGACAATGGAGGCAAATCGAATGTGAGAAGTGCTAGGATCCGCGCAACAGACGCGAAGACGGGTCATGTAAATAAACAAATTATACTTTCAATATTATTACTACTTATATTGGTGTTACATTTATATTATTCTTCGTTTTTACTTCTTTCAACCATCTTATTGTATTAACATTAACATTACTGACATGGCAACATTATTGATTAGAATTGTTATTATTAACGATTAGTGAACAGATGAATCTATGTTGAAAGTGAGCGATAACGAAGCAAACGTCCAATTTATAGACCTTAAGATATTTTTCATAAAATGCTAAACTTTTTCACTAGTTATGTGTCTTCTTCCTTGAAAATTGAAATGATAACGTAAAAGCTCGATGGATAACATCCTTGATTTTTTTTTTATAAACTGCTACTATTCGTGTAGATTGTACTCTTAACGACGTCATTGTTGTCCTAGATTACATTGTAAATGACAGGAACAAAACACCAACGAAAGCAATACACGGACTAGCATGGTACTTAAAGTAGGAAGGAAAAAAAGACAATATTGTATAGAACTGGGGCACGCAGCGGATGGCATAATACTGTCGATCATCACGAGGACAGTGCTGGTTCGATCCCGCCCTGGGCTCGCCAAGTGTCTCATTCATCCGAGGTTGGGAAATTGGTACCAGAGTTATCCGGAAAAAAAATCACTCCCCGCAATCCAAATGGGAGTGCTCTGGCGTGGCTATCTCGGGATTACAGGAAAAATCGACCCGACCCATTCTATGGCATTCTACGGCATTCATTATGAAGTGAAAATTCTCACGCAGCAGCCGAAGCCTCATGTAAAAGTTGGAAGACCTTCGTGGACGATGAATTAGAGGGGGGCGAATCGAATTTGAGAGGTGCTGGGATGGGTATAATAGACTTGAGAGAAGAAGTACAAAAAAAAGGAAAAACAAGTGTGCGGCGCGAATGTAGCGCAGTTAGAGATGCCCTTCAATTCACGTGCGTTCGATGCCACGTCCTGGGCTCACTTTGTCTGCCGTCTCTCCGAGTTCGACAAATTGGTACCCAACTTCTTTGGGAGGATGGCAGCCCTGACTCGTTGCATCGGTAGAGTATCGCTAATTATTGTATAGAACAGATTTGCATTCAATTACCTATAACGTTGCTTAATGAAGTTGAATGCATGGCGCATACCTCAGAGATTGATCAATCCCAAAAGCTTCTGCCTTTTTAGCTTTGCTTACACAAAACTGAAACTACGTTGGAATAAATGCGAAGTTTTGACCGTAGCTGATGCCTTCCCCTCGGTTAGTTCATCACAAACGTTTCGATGCCGGCTGGCCGACCACCTGACCAATTATCATCATCATGGTCTTAAGTTCAATGAATTAGTACTGGTTTTCTCCGAAAAGTACATTTAAACATGGACACCGATCGGCATTCCAGTGATACCGACTAATTCTCGGACATTAGCAACAGTTAAACAATTTAAATGCACAATTAATAAACATTCAGTACATTCATTGAAGCTCACAATGGATTATGGATAATATTTTGACTCATTGATGAGCTAACAGCCGTAATAGAAATCTATAACAACCTCGTGGCTAGCTTATCAATAACCAAAGACTAATCATTACTAAATCTCTTAAACGAAATGGTTACTGAGGTCGCCCACAATGTTAGAGAAATGGTGAACTTTACCTTTTATTCACCCGTCAACGAGATTGTTCAGGGGAGCCCAATTTGACAAAGAAGCCTGTTAAGCCGAGGCTGTAATCGCATTCACTATGTTAACTCTTTTATTTAATGCCTCTTAGAATTTTTCACAAAAGTGTACTATATATGATACAACCAGAATGATGCTGAGATATTTGCAAAACTCCGGAGAGCAAGTGTCTGCGGGTGGGAAACGATCGCGCGAACACCTTTTAGGGGGCTAACGCATTCACCACCACACCATGCAGATTCTTTGTTTCGCTTGTATCTCAGCTAGTTTTTACCTTCCATTACGCATCAAACCATCCGAAATCACAAAATAGACATATTTCTACGAAAACTAATACCACAGTGCATTAGTACATATGACGAAATCGTTTTCAAAAACATCTTTTATCTTCGAGAAAACACTCTTTTAGAGCTTTTTTTCTTCTCCTCTTGCTTTTCATAGATCAAGTAGAATAAACATAACTCAAACAACATAGCAATAATAACGATAGCAACAATAATAGTATAACAGCATGATTCTAATCGCACCAGCCTCACACAAGTTGTTTACGATTGTTGCTATGACCACTCTAGTAGCCCGTGGAAAAACAAATCTACTCTGAATGTTTTCATTTTTTATACGCTTCACTTACCCGTTAGCGACGAATTTTTTTAGCAAAACGTAATTTGTTATTCCACACCATCTTATTCATTATGCAACTGATGATTTCAATTTAAACGCATACCATATTCCGTGCAGACTACTACTTTCTATGCAAAACGAGCTTTCGCTCTCCCATTTTGGTTTAAATGTACCAATGTTTAAAATGTGTATATCAACGTTTCAATACCCAGCCATTCTACAA